TGAATGTTACGTAACATGGTTTCACAGATGTCTTACAAACGATTCAATTTCATTTCCATTCGCTGCTAAACCAAATCGCCCATCAAGAGGGAATGAGTGACCATTTTCTTTCTCTTTTTAAATTGGTATTCACGACCTTTCCTTCCTCTTCTCAAGTGGTATTCACTCTCTTTTCTTTCTCTTCTCAAGTTGGTATTCAAACTCTTTCCTTCCTCTTCTCAAGTTGGTATCCATACTCTTTTCTTTCTCTTCTCAAGTTGGTATTCAAACTCTTTCCTTCCTCTTCTCAAGTTGGTATCCACACTCTTTTTCTCTTCTCAAGTGGTATTCAAACTCTTTCCTTCCTCTTCTCAAGTTGGTATTCCACACTCTTTCTTTCTCTTCTCAAGTTTGGTATTCAACTCTTTCCTTCCTCTTCTCAGGTGGTATTCACTCTCTTTCTTTCTCTTCTCAAGTTGGTATTCAAACTCTTTCCTTCCTCTTCTCAAGTTGGTATCCACACTCTTTTCTTTCTCTTCTCAAGTTGGTATTCAAACTCTTTCCTTCCTCTTCTCAAGTTGGTATCCACACCTTCTTTCTCTCTTCTTGTATTCAAACGTCACTCTTTTCTTTCTCTCTCAAGTCAAACTCTTTCCTTCCTCTTCTCAAGTTGGTATCCACACTCTTTTCTTTCTCTTCTCAAGTTGTATTCAAACTCTTTCCTTCCTCTCTCAAGTTGGTATCCACACTCTTTTCTCTCTCTCAAGTTGGTATTCAAACTTTCCTTCCTCTTTCAAGTGGTATTCTTTTCTTTCTCTTCTCAAGTTGGTATTCAAACTCTTTCCTTCCTCTTCTCAAGGTGGTATTCACTCTCTTTTCTTTCTCTTCTCAAGTTGGTATCCACACTCTTTTCTTTCTCTTCTCAAGTTGGTATTCAAACTCTTTCCTTCCTCTTCTCAAGTTGGTATCCACACTCTTTTCTTTCTCTTCTCAAGTTGGTATCCACACTCTTTTCTTTCTCTTCTCAAGTTGGTATTCAAACCTCTTTTCTTTCTCTTCTCAAGTTGGTATTCAAACTCTTTCCTTCCTCTTCTCAAGTTGGTATCCACACTCTTTTCTTTCTCTTCTCAAGTTGGTATTCAAACTCTTTCCTTCCTCTTCTCAAGTGGTATTCACTCTCTTTTCTTCTCTTCTCAAGTTGGTATTCAACTCTTTCCTTCCTCTTCTCAAGTGGTATCACTCTCTTTCTTTCTCTTCTCAAGTTGTATTCAAAACTCTTTCCTTCCTCTTCTCAAGTTGGTATCCACACTCTTTTCTTTCTCTTCTCAAGTTGGTATCCACACTCTTTTCTTTCTCTTCTCAAGTTGGTATCCACACTCTTTTCTTTCTCTTCTCAAGTTGGTATCCACACTCTTTCTTTCTTCTCAAGTTGGTATCCACACTCTTTTCTTTCTCTTCTCAAGTTGGTATTCACACTCTTTTCTTTCTCTTCTCAAGTTGGTATTCACACCCTTTTCTTCCTCTTCTCAAGTTGGTATTCACTCCTTTCTCTCTCTTCTCAAGTTGGTATTCACAACCTTTCCTTCCTCTTCTCAAGTTGGTATTCATTCTTTTCTCTCTCTCCAAGTTGGTATTCACTCTTTCTCTATCTTCTCAAGTTATTCACTCTTTTCTCTATCTTCTCTAGTTGGTATTCACTCTTTTCTCTATCTTCTCAAGTTGGTATTCATCACACCCTTTCCTTCCTCTTCTCAAGGTGGTATTCAAACTCTTTCCTTCTCTCAAGATTCAAACGCTTTTCTTCCTCTTCTCAAGTTGGTATTCACTCCTTCTCTCTCTTCTCAAGTTGGTATTCACTCCTTTCTCTCTCTTCTCAAGTTGGTATTCAACTCGTTATTCACTCTTTCTCTCCTCTTCTCCAAGTTGGTAACACTTTTTCTTCCCCTTCTCAAGTTGGTTTTCACTCCTTTCTCTCTCTTCCCAAGTTGGTATTCACTCTTTTCTCTCTCTTCTCAAGTTGGTATTCACGACCTTTTCTTTCTCTTCTCAAGTTGGTATTAATTTTTTTCCCTCTCTTCTCAAGTTGCTATTCAAACCCTCTTCTTCCTCTTCTCAAAATGGTATTCAGACTTGCATTTTTCTCAAACTGATTGGCACAGACAAGAAAGAATCACGAATGGCATAGAGGACAGGCAATCTCCCTCAAATACATCTCTCTAAATCATTATCATCATTATCATTATCATTATCATCATCATTCTTATTTTCATCATCATCATTACTGTTATTACGAATACCATTATTACTTTTCTTATTATGATTACTATCAGTATCTATTACTGTTTTGTTTTTATCACTGTTATCATCATTCATTGTTAATATCAATACCATAATCATTTATACTATTATCATTGTTATTCCCTTCCATAATTATCATTAACATCATTATATCCATTATCATTGTTGTTATCATTATCATCAATGCTATTACTTTTACTATAATTCCTATTCCTACTATTCACACTTTTATTGTTATCAAACTTATTGACATCACTACTGGAATTATTGTCAAAATCATCATCTCTGTCACTGCCAATAGCATCATCATTGTTATTATCATCATCATTATTATTATCATAATCATTATTACTATCAACATTATCATTATCATTATTATCCGTATCATTAATGTTGTCATCATCAGTCATTAACAATAACAGTTATCATTATCCTGATCACTGTCATTATCACCATTACTATCATTACCACTTTCGGTCTTCGCTTATCATCGTTATTATCATTCCTTGCTTTCTGTCTCCCTCGTTCGCAATATCTCTCTTGGACACATTTTCTTACCGTCTCTCTAAGAATAATCCAATTAAATAAACTTTCATCCAAAAAACAACGCATCCTCCTATTTTTTTTTTCTCTCTCTCTCTTTAGAACTTAACCTGAATTCCAGAAACGCAACAGAAAATATAAGGGAAGATCCGAAATAAATATGGATGCAATCTTGACTTTATTTCACAACGCTTTTCCCAAATGCACCGAAATATTTCATATTCTGACAAGACAGTTTCTAATAAAATATAATGTTTTTTTTTTTTCGCTGCGACCTCTTTCCCCGAACGCAAAAAAACTTTGAGACGGGGAAAATGTAAAAGAAACAAAAAGAAGAAAAAAAATCGTTTCCCCTTTATTTTTCAACATCCGAGAGGGAGAAAATTCGCTTAGCCAATTTTCATCCCTTCCCACCGCGTCCACCCCCCCCTCCCCCTCCCTCCAACCTCCACCTCCTTCCCCCTCCCTCCGTACTCCACATCCCCGTCCATCTTCCCTCCATTTCCCTCCTCCTCCGTCCGCTCTCCACCTCCCTCCTCCTCCCAACGCCCCTCCACCTCCCTCCTCCCAACGCCCCTCCACCTCCCAACGCTCCTCCAGATCCTCCCCGGCCATCCTCCTCCCTCCGCCCCTCCACCTCCCTCTTCTCCTCCCGGCCCCCGCCTCCGCCCTCCCCCAACTCTCTCCGCCTCCCTTCTACTCCCCCTCCCCCCACTCTCTTCTCCACCTCCCTCCACCTTCCCCCAATTCTTGCATTTCTTTCCTCCTCCTTAACTTTCACCCAATTCACCCTCCTCCACCTCCTTCCACCCATTCTCTGCTCCCCTCCTCCCCTACCTACCAACCTCCACCTCTACCCCTCCTCCCCTTCCACCAACCTCCACCTCTACCCCTCCTCCCCTTCCCACCAACCTCCACCTCTACCCTCCTCCCCTTCCCACAACCTCCACCTCTACCCCTCCTCCCTGCCCACCAACCTCACCTCTACCTCCTCCCCCCCACCAACCTCCACCTCTACCCCTCCTCCCCTGCCCACCAACCTCCACCTCTACCCCTCCTCCCCTGCCCACCAACCTCCACCTCCCTACCAACCTCCACCTCTACCCCCTCCTCCCCTGCCCACCAACCTCCACCTCTACCCCTCCTCCCCCTGCCCACCAACCTCCACCTCTACCCTCCTCCCTCCACCAACCTCCATCTCTACCCTCCTCCCCTACCAACCTCCACCTCTACCCCTGCCCACCAACCTCTACACCAACCTCCACCTCTACCCCTCCTCCCCTGCCCACCAACCTCCACCTCTACCCCTCCTCCCCTGCCACCAACCTCCACCTCTAACCCCTCCTCACCAACCTCCACCTCTACCCCTCCTCCCCTTCCCACCAACTCCACCTCTACCCCTACCTCCCCTACCCACAAACCTCCACCTCTACCCCTCCATCCCTGCCACCAACCTCCATCTCTACCCCTCCTCCCTACCCACCAACCTCCACCTCTACCCTCCTCCCCCTCCGCCCACTTCTGCCTCCACATCCACTCGACGCCCATCCACCCGCGAACGGCAGCCACGGTAATTAGCCACGCAATAGGGCACCTCGCAAATATGCTGAGAGAGAGAGAGAGAGGAGAGAGAGAGAGAGAGAGAGAGAGAGAGAGAGAGAGAGAGAGAGAGAGAGAGAAGAGAGAGAGAAGAGAGAGAGAGAGAGAGAGAGAGAGAGAGAGAGAGAGAGAATGACAGAGAGAGAGGGAGAGAGAGAAAGAGAAAGAAAGAGAGAGGGAGAGAGAGAAGAGACATGAGGTTGACCTAAAAAAAAAATAAAAATAACACACGGACACGTCTTTAAAGAGAGGAACCATCATCACCACCATCATCACATCATCGACATAAAAACAGTGATCACTCGGAATCAGCTGTTCCCAAGGAGACCGAACCACCTTGTAAACACGAATCCGCACCCGATTAAACGACCGCCTTTACAACGAACAGATCCGGCTCTTCTCCACGATCCTCCTGACGATCCCCACGACTCCTTTTCGCGGCCCAGTTACCGGGCGACCGCGAAACGAGTCCCCGTCCCGGTACCAGTCCGCGAGCCGTCCCGGGAAAGTCCTGACCGGGAGGAAGTGAAGCCATAAAGTGACGTCATAGAGTGACATCATAGAGTGACGTCATAGCTCACCTGCTCGTAGAACTCCAGCTGAGGGACCGGGTCGTCGCACACCGTCTTGCAGAAGTCTTTATAGAGGAGGTAACCTGCGGGGGAAGAGAGAGGCAACGTTAGTGTCGGACTGGCCCGCTAATTGACACTCTTAAAAAGATACATAAATATCTATAATTATATCTATAAATATTTAAATGAATAAACAAATAAATACACACACACACACACACACACACACACACACACACACACACGCACATACATATATATATGAACAAACAAATATAGATACGTATAGATTTATACATAGATAGATATAGATATAGATATAGAATAGATTAGATATAAATATAAATATGCACACACAAATACACACAGAATTAGAAAGAAAGAGAAAATGATCGAGAGAGAGAGAGAGAGAGAGAGAGAGAGAGAGAGAGAGAGAGAGAGGGAGAGGAGAGAGAGAGAGAGAGGGAAGAGAGAGAGAGAGGAGAGGGAAGGAGAAGAGAAAGAGAAAGAGAAAGAGAAAGAGAAAGAGAAAGAAAAAGAAGACACAGACAGAGACAGAGAGAAAACAAGAAAAAGAACAGAGAAAGAGAAAAAGAAAAAAAAATACAGACACAGCCAGAGAGAAAGCAAGACAAAGAACAAGAGAACAGAGACAGAGAAAAAGAAAGAGAACGAGAGACAGAGAAAACAAAGTGCGCCCAGCGAGGCTCGCCCATTCCGAGGGCAGCATCCCATCCCTCACGGCTAATGGCGCTGCCCGCGACAGAGCCTCATCACCAGCCGCATCATGGGATTCGCAATGCATAAATGTTTCGCCGCCGTTAGTCATCCTCTCCGCTCGCTCCGACGGTCCTCATGCACCTCGGCCTTTCAGCGAGCAGGCAGGATGTTTAAATATGTATGTATGCATGTATGTATTACGTACGCACGTATGTATGCATGTATGTATTACGTACGCATGTAAGTATGTATGTATTACGTACGCACGTATATATACATGTGTTTGTATGTTTTATTATATAATATATATATATATATATATATATATATATAATATATATATATATATATATATCTACAAGCCACCTTAAACACAATAAATTACCTGCTTTCCGATAAAAGTTTGGGGTTCCCGGAAACGCCAACACATATCGGGGAGAGAGAAGGAGGGGAGGGAGGGAGGGGAGAGGGGGGAGGGAAGGGGAGAGGAGGGGGAGGGGGAGAGGGAGAGAGGGAGAGACAGACAGACAGAGAGACAGAGAAGGCGGGGGAGCAGAAAGGAGAGGAGAGATAGATAGGGAGGAAGGAAAAATGTGGGGCAAGGAGGATGAAGAGAGAAGGGGAGGGAGGAAGACGGAGGGAGGCCGGGAGGGAGGGGAGAGGAGTGACTCAGCCTTATCATAATGAGGCTCGTTAAAAGTTTTCGGGCCGACGACGCAGGTCGGGCTTGCCAGCCTCCCACGGCGGAGGCAGCCCCACCCCCACCCCACCCCCCCACACCCTGCCTCCGTCAGCACATCCGGACGACACGACCTTCGAGCACTCCGGCCGCCGCCTACGTGGTCCGCGCCCACCCCGCCCTCCTGACTGCTTTCCCCCCTCCGGCGCCTTTCCTCTTTCCCCCTTCTCCCCGCCTCCTCCACCTCCACCCCAGCTCCACCTCCACTTCCACCCCCACCCCAACTCCACCTCCGACCCAGCTCTACCTCCACCCCAGCTTCACTTTCACTCCAGCTCCACTTCCTTCTTCGCCTCCGGTCCACCCCACTTTCCCTGCCGCCGCCACCCCCACACCCACGCCGCCGGAAACGCCGCCCAATCTCTCACGATTTGAACTTCGGAATCAGTGAACAAAGTGGACTGAACAGAAAGCGAATATCAGCAAATGCAGAATAAGGGAGGGAAGGAATGAGTAAGTGAGAGGGAGGGAGAGAGGGAGGGAGAGAGAGAGGAGGGAGGGAGGGAGGAGGAGGGGAGGGAGGAGGAGGGAGGAGAGAGAGGAGAGGGAGAGGAGGAGGAGGGAGGGAGAGAGGAGGGAGGAGGGAGGAGAGGAGGGAGGGAGGGAGAGGAGGAGGGGAGAGAGAGAGAGGAGGGAGAGAGGGAGAGGAGAGAGAGAGAGAGAGAGAGAGAGAGAGAGAGAGAGAGAGAGAGAGAGAGAGAGAGAGAGAGAGAGAGAGAGAGAGAGAAGAGAGAAAAGATAGATAGAGAGAGAGAGATGAGTGAGAGTGAGAGAGAGAGTGAGAGAGAGAGAGTGAGAGAGAGAGAGAGAGAGAGAGAGAGAGAGAGAGAGAGAGAGAAGAGAGAGAGAGAGAGAGAGAGAGAGAGAGAGAGAGAGAGAGAGAGAGTGAGTGAGAGTGAGAGTGAGAGTGAGAGTGAGAGAGTGAGAGTGAGAGAGAGAGAGAGAGAGATAGAGAGACCCAAATAAGCGATAAAGACCAAGCCTCCATACCTTTCGGGCAGTGAAGTGAGGATCAGAACCAGAAGGGGAAGCTCAAGCGAAGGAGAGCGACCCCAGCAGAAAGGCATGACCCAAGCGCGAGGCAAGAGGCAAAGGCGGAAGCAAGGACGGCAAGGAAGCGCCTTCCCGATGCAGGTCCCCCGTGCGGGCATCCCCGGCCAGCCTCTCCGGGCGGCTCTTCTAATCGAGTCGCGGCCGCCAGGGGACTTCCGCCTCTGCCTTAAGGTGCGATAAGGGCCTGTGTCACGAATCATGCATCCCCTCCCCCCGCCCTCCCCTCTCAACGCACCTGCCTTCGCCTCCCCGAACCGCCGCTCTGAAATGCTCTCGAGAGTGCATTTTGAGACGGCCTTCCCTCCTATTTTCCTCACGCCGCGGATGCAAACCCCGGCGAGCGTATTTTGCCACCTCCCCCTCCTCCTTGGCGACCCCCGTGCGCTCCTTCCCGCGCCGCTGGCCCCCTCCTGACCACCCTCGGCCGGAGCAATGAAATTACGCCCTTTCCTCTATCCAATAAACCCAATATGCTGACCTTCCCCACTCCCTTCGCAGCTAAATCCGGGACCCTCCATCTCCACCGTACCTCAGCCTTCCGCCTCGCTTTCCAACTATCGCTGTTTCCTTTAAGACTTCCTCTTCCTCCAAAGAAACGAAGAGCTAATCTCAGAAGCGGAGGAATGCAAAGAGTCTCGCGTCGTCCTCCTCAGAACTTCCGAAGCGGTTTCGCAGGCACGAGAGGCAGCGCCGGAAGACGTGCGAGGAGGCGCCTCCAACTCCAAACACTCCCCCGAAACACCTTGGCGAAGTTCTGTCCCTTCCGAAGACGACTTTCGCGAGCACCTGCGATTACCGACGAAGGGGCGCGAGGAAGGCCCACTCCTTCGCTCAAAGGTCCGAAAATTAATTTCTAAAAAATAATTAATACTAATTGTATGATTACGACATTTTTACGGGACGCGCTGGAAGAAAAATCTGGGAGACAACTTCAACAGGTGCTTAGGGGAAGCTTCTTACGTCATCAACAGGTGGTATGGGAGGCGCTTATTATCGGCCTCGTTATGCTCACACCTGCGACAACTCGGCGCCTTCGAAAGTGCATCGGGAACACATTCCTTGCGGAGGAGAAAAATGAATAACAAAATATACAAACATAATACTTATAAATACATACATATTTATATACATATATTTCCATGTATGTATGTATGAATATATATGAATATACATATAACATATATATATATATATATATATATATATATATATATATATATATATATATATATACACACACACACACACACACACACACACACACACACACACACACACACGTATACATAATATATATATATATATATATATATATATATATATATATATATATATATATATATATATATATATAATATATATATACTGTATACTGTTTATCTAAACATAAACACAAATGCTTATATACATATATGATTATATACATACGTACATACGCACGCGCACGTGTGTGTGTATGTGTGAGCATGTGTGTGCGTACATTCATATCTCTGTTTATTCATATATTCAAACTGCCTTCATGCACATAATTAACAGATGTCCCAAGGCATTGCTCAACAGTGCAATGACATCCTGGTTCTGGGTGACTTGAGAAATGGATCTAAATTGTCAAATTATTCAGCCTCTTCCCCGCCAATCTGCAAGCATGACTTTGCTCGTCGGTCTGCCTCTGCCTCCGCGACGTCCCTGTCTGTCTCCGTGAACGGGCAAGGAGTCAGCCGGGGCGTTGGTACCTCCGAATCGCTCGTGATTGCTTGCGTGCGATTCGAGTCGTGCTTGTCGCCGCGCTTGCGAGAGGGAAGCCATCGCGCCCGTGGCCACTCGCCCCCCCCCTTTCACTCGATGCTTCTGCAGTCACAGTCTACAGCCTCCAGACGAAGGCCAAAGGCACGCCCGAGGTGCTTCCATGGCGCCGCCCTTCCGACTGGTCCCGCACAGCCTCGCCGCTTCGCACGCGCCCCTGCCTGCGACAAGCCACGTGGCGGGGTCGAGGCAGGCGGTTGCGAGGGCACGGCGTGGGTCCCAGGTTCTTCGAGAGCCCATACGCGCCCCTGCGAGTGACGCGGCGGTGGGCAAAAAGGCGTCCTTGAATATCGTCTTCCATTCCTCCCTATTGAAGCCCGTCACTCGAGCCTGGCGGAAAGAACCCCCGATCTTATCTTGCCTCCGGGTACAGGCGACGCTCGGACCCCGGGCTCGCACAAGCACCGTCCCTTCCCGACGCCCACGGAGCTGCAGAAAGGATCAAACACGACGGAGCACCGAGTCGGAATGCACAGACGTCAGCCGCGCGCTCACCCGAAACCCCCGAAGAATCCCCACGCAGGCACTCGAGGTCCTAGGCCGCGCTGTTGACAGATTCGTCTCCTGCGTCGGGAGAGCAAGGGGGGGGGGGTAGGAGGGGAAGGAGGAAGAAAGGAAAGAAAGCGGTGCAACTCAAAATGTAAGAACAACACATATATAAAGAGATATAAAGAAGACAGGCGAACAATAGAAGAGAAAAGCAGAGGATTAAACGGGGAAACATAAATGGAAGACACTCGGAGCCAACACAAAAGGAAGACACAAGGC